GACGACGCATATGATACACTCTACAAACATTTTTGCGTGCTTCTTATTGCCCCCGACAGGTGAATATTCTTCCTAGTTGACCACTTTACATAGAAAGCCCAGCTTGTTTTTTGCCGTGAAGACAACTTTCAAAATGGTTTTAAATGTTCGCTCTGTCCTATCTGTCTTCGATACGTTCAAAATAGTTCGAATATTCGTGAACTTAGCCGCCTTTAAGAGAGTGGCGTGAAGTCTAGGGAGGGGAACACTGTGCACTGCCGCTGCTTCAAACAAAAGCACATGCGGAAGCAATAGGGTAACCAATTTGATACATTCCAGTGGTGTAAATCCAAAATAATCGCACGAGGGGACACACATTTTGCAATGGCGACCATTTTTTGTTTCTAATATTTATTTTATCTTTACTAATATATTGTGATAGTACAACGCGAACAAAGCCGCGAACTTAACGATCAAACCCTGGCCGTCATTGTGCCGGTGAACGGGCCGCCAGGCTCGGCTTGACGGTCCTATACGTGCGATTATCCTGCTGGCGCGGGGTCTCCCTTGCGTCTTCTCAGGACCAAAATAAAGTTTTAATCAATCGATCCTCTCATCTCGTACAACGAACCGTCAAAACATTTTCACGTGGCGTGGAGACAACACCCACCACCACACAAAAAACTAAGCATATCTCAAGCTCTGACACTCAGGATTCTTCAAGTTGGGGTGCGCCCTAAGTCCGAGCTACTACACAAGATTTATCCCGAAATACAGCCCACTAATACACGTTCCTTCTGCAATGATAAAGCTAATTTTGAACACACGCTCTGGCGGTGCCTCGCGTTACGCTGTGGTGAAGTTACCACGACATCCAAATGGGAGGGTGCTATCTCTTGGTCTGAACGCTTTGGGCAGTCTTATGGACCCGTGACACAGCAGAGACACTTGGTCTTTCTGTGGTGGCGTGGGAGTGGCCTGCAACGTGCTAAAGTGTGTTCCAAAGAATCTGAAATGTTCATTCGTCTATCCATCCATATCCGTGACGGAAGTACGTAAGCAGAGCCGTGGTGAACCCCGCCATAACACACTGTTGTCTTCAAAAAAAAAATACACCATATCTCACTAAACGGAATCATGTATAGATGCAAAGCAGCGTGTGCTAACGCTTACACTGGCGGCGACGTTGACGCTGGCACTCATCGCGGCGTTGCGCAGCAGAGAAACCTGTGAAGGCGCAAAGCACGCAGTGATGAACCAGTGCTTGCTACTGGAGCATTCCAATCACTTCTATGGAGCAATGAGATACAGAAGACTATGATTGGACATGGAGAACCGCAGTCCGCTTTCACTGGAGGGCATCAGTGTTTTTTGTATAAGAAATTCACAGCATTTCCAAGGAGTGCATGTTGATGAGTAGGGCCGTTTCCGTCCGTTCGATGCGTGCTCCAGTGTTATAGGAGTGGACGGAGAGACAGACGGACGCAGAAACAAACAGACAGACAGGCGGATGAAGAGACAGGTAGCCATAAACACGGACAGACAGACGAACGGACGGATGGACGAACCGACGGACGCTTCGCCCCACTCATCATTGACTCCATGAGTATGTTGTGAATTTTTTATTGTCCAACAACGCAGAGGAAACATCACCCACCGGCACTACTTCGGAGGTCAAGATCCAGCGTCTATATATTGTAGGTGCTCACAATATGCGTGGTGCACGGGCAGTGAGTGGTTGTGCAGCGAGAGCAGTTTGTTTTCTCAATGAATAAACTCGCTAGCGGACACTGCCTGCGTTGGCGTTGTAATTTGAAAGAGAGGGGAGTGTAAGAAAGGAGGGGAGAAGCGAGCATGCACAATGGGGGTGCAAACGTCGCAAGAAAGAATGAATGTCCCGAGAAGAGAGGGGGGGGGGGGGCGAGCATAGACTTGCAGACACTGCCTGCGTCGGCGTATAGTGAAGCGAGAGAGGGGCGCGCACCCGCATCATAATCATCATCATCATCATCATCAGCCTGACTAGGTACACAGCAGGACAAAGGCCTCTCCCATGTTCCACCAGTTAACCCAGTCCTGTGCTTGCTGCTGCCAAGTTGTACCCGCAAACTTCTTAATCTCATCTGCCCACCTAATCTTCTGTCTCCCCCTAACCCGCTTGCCTTCTGTGGGAATCCAGTTAGTTACCCTTAATGACCAGCGGTTATTCTGTCTACGCGCTACATGCCCGGCCCATGTTCATTTATTCTTCTTGATTTCAGCTGTGATATCCTTAACCCACTTTTGCTCCCTGATCCACTCTGCTCTCTTCTTGTCTCTTAAGGTTACACCTACCATTTGTCTTTTCATTGCTCGCTGCGTCGTCCTCAATTTAACCTGAACCCTCTTTGTAAGTCTCCAGGTTTCTGCTCCGTAGCTAAGTACCGGCAAGATACAGCTGGTATATGCCTTCCTCTTGAGGGATAGTGACAATCTACCTGTCATAATTTGAGAGTGCTTGCCAAATGTGTTCCACCCCATCCTTATTCCTCTAGTCACTTCAATATCGTGGTTCGGCTCCGCGGTTATTACCTGCCCTAAGTAGACATAGTCTTTTACAACTTGAAGTGCACTATTACCTATCTCGAAGCGCTGCTCTTTTCCGAGGTCGTTGTACATTACTTTCGTTTTCTGCCGAATAATTTTAAGACCCACCTTTCTGCTCTTCTTGTCTAACTTCGTAATCATGTGTTGCAATTCGTCCCCTGAGTTACTCAGCAATGCTATGCCATCGGCGAAGCGCAGGTTACTAAGGTACTCTCCATTAACTCTTATCCCTAACTGTTTCCGTTCTAGGCTTCTGAAAACCTCCTGCAAGCATGCGGTAAATAGCATTGGGGAGATTGTGTCCCCCTGCCTTACACGCCTCTTGATTGGTATTCTGTTGCTTTCTTTATGAAGCACTATGGTAGCCGTTGATCCCTGTAGATTTCTTCAATGATGTTTATATATACTTCATCGACGCCCTATTTCCGCAGTGTCTGCATGACGGCTGATATTTCTACTGAATCAAACGCCTTCTCGTAATCCTATGAAGGCTACGTACAGTGGTTGGTTATATTCTGAGCATTTCTCTATTACCTGATTGATAGTATTAATGTGGTCGATTGTTGAGTAGCCTGTTCGCAATCCTGCTTGTTCCTTTGGTTGATTGAAATCTAATGTTTCCTTTACTCTGTTAGCAATCACCTTTGTAAATAGCTTGTATACTACAAAGAGAAAGCTGATCGGCCTGTAATTCTTCAAGTCCTTGCCATCTCCTTTCTTATGTATTAAGATGATGTTAGCATTCTTCCAAGACTCTGGTACTCTTCCCGTCAGGAGACACCTCGTAAACAAGGGTGGCTAGCTTTCCTAACACCAGCGTTGCGCATTCGCAACGCTGGTGTAAACACCACTGAGAAGAATCCCCACAGGAGTCAGGCGCTGCGCCGTGCTCCCAAGTTGACTGAAGAAATTAGGTGCCTTCTTCTAACCACTACCACCACCACTACCACAGGAAAGAGAGGGGGAGCGAACGTACGCTAGCAGATGCTGCCTGCGTCGGGGTTGCGAGGCGAAGAAAGGAAGAGCGTAGGAGAGAGAGGGGGAGGGGACGCGCATATACGGTAAGGGCTGGTCATGGCGCATTGAGCTCAACCACAACGACGATAGCATTGAGCTGCTTCACATTCAAGTGTAATGGTGGCGCACCATATTTATTGCGCGGCGGCAGCGAGGTCAATCACGGCATGGAGCGTCCTGCAATGGACTAGAGGGGGACTCTGGCACTGCGATCGTTCAGCGACCATGGGAATTGTAGGTATGACATAGATTCGCCTAGGCCTTCGTGGCTTGCAGGCGGTGAATCGCACTTGTGGCTTCGTTTATTGCTTGCGTTTTGGTTTTGTTTCGAACTGAAAGAACAAATTCTTTTGAACTTCTTTGGCTGATTTGAAATGTTGATCCTAAAAGGTGAAGGTGGTGAAGCGCAAGGGCAGTTCCATGTTCTCCCCGCCCTGCCACAACGCACATGCTGGGACACTTGCTACACCCAAGCGGAAGACAAATGAACGAATCGGCGACGCTCTTTCACCATCCGCTTTGTTGCGGCAAGGGGTCTCGGCACGTGCGTTGTGGCTTGTGCGGGTAGCGCGTAGAATGGCTCTGACTGTCCAACACTAGCCGATTGCTGTTTCGTGGCAAAGCATCTTGAAGCCACGCGAAGCCTGAACGGAACGAGAAGTACGAAGACTAGGTAGATTCATGTACCACCCATAATTCTCCATGGTTGCTGAAACGCCATGCGTTGCAGCTCCCATAGACACTAGCGCCACAGTTTCCTCTAGTGTATATTTAGGAAACTCTATGACTCACGGGACTTGGCGCGAGCAAAAACAAGCGGCAGCGGCAGGCACACACATACCCTGAACTTGGAAGTACTTGTTGCTGAGCTAGTTGGTTCGTCATACTGAGGGAAACTTCTAGACGCCTAAACCACCACAGGAAAAAGAAAGCACACAGAGGAAGAGAGTCATTCTCGCTATTTCTCTGTGTGTCTCTCTTCCTGTGGTGGTTTAGGCGTGTAGAAGTTTCCCTCAGTATCCTAAGCTAATCACAAGAGAAGCGGGTGGGTCAGTAACCCCTTGACTACGCCATGATTTACGCCAGTGGTAATGGGAATTTCCCGTTTATAACTGCTGCTTCATGCAAATAGTCGCCTACATTAGAGCGTTAGCCACTTTCAGCCATCATTTAGTCAACATTAGGCAAAGCAACAGCACGCGAATAATAACTGCAATCGTATTCAATCCGGAATGCTCGTCGACTTCTTCGTGCGTCGTTACAGCATATCTACGGAGTGAATGAGTGGGGCGAAGCGGCCCTCTGTCTGTCTGGTGATATGGTGGGCTGGCTACACCGTCGGAAAGAACCGCCTAGACCATAAGGAGCTCCGCTCCTAAAAGTGGAAGCATCAAGGCCGACTGACTCCGCGCACTCACAGTAACCATCCTCCACCCTGAAAGTCGGCTCTGTCCAGGCGTCCTCTGTGGCAGCAGGCGCAGAAAGAAGCGCACAGCACTCGACTTATGAAACGCTGCAGCCGGTAGAGCGGTGGGTGCACGGGCTGCAGGCCGCACCGGCGCCTCCACGAGTTCGCCCGCTCCATCTTGTAGCGCTCCAGAGCACGTCGCACGCTGTACATGTAGCGTTGCTGCTGCACCCAGAACATCACTCGGCCCGTGAAGAGCTTGCGCAACAGTACCGAGCACAGCGTTGTGGCCATGCGTCTGATCACTGCGTCCTTTGCGTATACGAAAGGCAACCGTCGGCTCTCCCTGCGTAATGGTTAAAATATGCTTAGTGCTTGTGCAGGTGCACGTGTGCGTGTGTGTGTGTGTGTGTGCGTGTGTGTGTGCGTGTGCGTGTGTGTGTGTGTGTGTGTGTGTGTGTGTGTGTGTGGTGTGTGTGTGTGTGTGTGGTGTGTGCTGTGTGTGTGTGTGTGTGCTGTGTGTGTGTGTGTGTGTGTGGTGTGTGTGTGTGTGTGGTGTGTGTGTGTGTGTGTGGTGTGTGTGTGTGTGTGTGTGTGGTGTGTGTGTGTGTGTGTGTGTGTGTGGTGTGTGTGTGTGTGTGTGTGTGGTGTGTGTGTGTGTGTGTGTGTGTGTGTGTGTGTGTGTGTGTGTGTGTGTGTGTGTGTGTGTGGTGTGTGTGTGTGTGTGTGTGTGTGTGTAGTGGTGTGTGTGTGTGTGGGTGTGTGTGTGTGTGTGTGTGTGTGGTGTGTGTGTGTGTGTGTGTGTGTGTGTCAGGAAGGGTGGGGAAGTGCGTCTTCTACCATCAGCCGGACTACGCCTACTGCAGGGCGAAAACCCCTCCCATGATACGCCAATCAACCCAGTCTTGCGCTTTCTGCTGCCACGTTATACCTACGAACCTTTTAATCTCATCGGCCCACTTCACTTTCTGTCTCCCCCTCGTGCCTTTGCCTTCTCTGGTAATCCAGCTAGTTATCCTTAAACACCAACTGGAACGAAATTTTACTTGGGCTGAAGCGGCCATAAATACGTAGTAATTATACGGTAATTTACGACAACGACAGTGAAAAATTTCACAGTCACATATTTAATTTACAATTGGTGCTCTAATTGCCAGCAATCATACGACACGGATCTCTAGTGGTGTGCCCAAGAAAATCGAAGAGAACCGGATATGACGATTACAACAGAACTGAAATCTACAAGTACTGCTGACTGGGCGAGGTGGACATGATAAAATGATATTGCTTTAGCACAGCTCAGTTTGACCGTGACGGAAAGATACTATGCAGTCAAGAAGGGGAAAAAACAGACGACAGTGGGGGCGCTAAATCTTTACTTTTGTTTATTGCGTGCCCTTACAACATATTATATGGCTAATTTCACGTAACGCCACACACATGACAAAACCGCACACGTGTGGCATAGCACATTATCAAGGAAACCTAGTTGGATCTGATTACAAATTATCAATTCTATACTAATGCTTCACAGCACACACTCCAGAAAATCAAGCTCTTCTTGAGATAAGGACACAGCCGGCATATTTACAAACAGCTTTGCACATTTTGCAGTAGCGTTCGCCTCAATAATTTCCCTTGTAAACTGGTTACGACTGCTGCCCAAGATGACACACTTGTAAAAATTGGAGTGCATCAACACGTCTTAAAATGCATTACAACGCTCAGAGCCTCTTCACGCTCAAACTGAGCTGCGCTAAAGCAATATCATTGCACTACAGAACATCGCCGCGTCGCTTCTTGTAAACAATTCTCCCTGCCGCTGACTCGCTCTTTCCTGCGTTGAAACCACTTTCAATGCAGCGCGTTTGAAACGCGTCTGTCCGTTTGCGCTGCCTATGCGCCGCCTAGAGACAGCGCGTTCAAAACGCGTTCGCGCAGCATTGAAGTCGATGGCAAGTCAAGTTCAAGTCAAGCAACGTTTCTGAAAGTGGGGGTCAGACTCTGCAAACCAACCAGTGGGAAGCCCGGACCAGCTTTCGATAAGAGGCATGTTCACGCAGCTTCCTTAAGTTAACATAAAAAAAGCCCCCATATTCAGAAATGCTACGTGTCTTGAACTTAACTTGAAACCACCCTTACTGCAGCGCGTTTGAAACTCGTCTGTGCGTTTGTGCTGCCTTGGCACGGCCTGAGGACAGAGCGTTCGAAACGCGTTTGTGCTGCGTTTGAGTCAGTAGCAAGTCAAGATCAAGTCAAGCAGCGTTTCTGAATACCGGAATAAAGGGCGCGTCAACGATGCGCGTCTTGTCTGTCTATCTATCTATCTATCTATCTATATATCTATCTATCTATCTATCTATCTATCTATCTATCTACCCATTGATCGATCTATATAGCTATCTATCTATCTAGCCACTTACGACTTTTAGCTCTCCGGCCCATTTCAATAATGGCATTGATACCAAACTTGGGCACGTTAATAAGTTGTCTATTTAGGGAGTGAAGTTTTTCGCATTCTTCTTTCTAAATTAGTAGTAAGGGAACGAGTAGTCACAGAAAAAGTACTGCGCCTTGGTATCCACAACACAGTGGAGGAACTAACGGAAGGGCATTTAACGACCCAAGGAGAAAGGCTCTTATGAACCAAAGCAGACCTGCACATACTCAACCATCTCGGACGACGCACTAGTTGCACGCTCAACAACAAGGTTTTCCTGCCAGCGGCAACTCGTGCAGACATTATAATCAAACCCCTGCCCAAAAATATGCTGGCAGGAATACATGACGAGAGACGAAAGGCAAGAGCAGAAAACCTCGCAAAACAATTTCAGGATCGCCCAAACGTTCTGTATGTTGACACCGCTCGACAAGCGAGAGACCGTTACAGCACATGCGCGGTGACCGGCAATGGGGAACTTATTATTACTGCAGCCCCCGTAAAAACGGCCTCAGCTTTAGAGGCAGAAGAAGCCGCATCGCGCTGGTCACCTCAATTCCGGCTACCAATTCCATCCTGAGTGATTCGAAAAGAGCGCTCATGAATTTTACGGTGGGCTGTGTTGGGCCGTTCGCGGCCAACATTATCAAAAATAAGAAACGAGACAATAAAATACAACTTACGTGGTTGCCCACTCACGCGGGGAATCCTGAAAATGAGGCGGCCCACCACGTAGCCAAAGGTTTAATCAACCGGGATGTGGACCCCTCCACCCTGGACTTCCCGCAGGAAGGGATCACCACGTATAACGAAATTACAACGTATTACCAGAGAACCGCAAGACATACGCGGCCCCTCAAGCAGATATGTCAAGGGATATGTCAAAGGGAAGGCCGCGGTCTGGAGGAAAATCCAAACAGACTCTTTGCCCAGCCTTCATCGGCTGTCTAAAATTTGTCCAGAAGAGATTACACCAAACTGCCGACATTGCAGCTGCGTAAAAGCTACCCAAATGCGAGGGTAACCGCACACCAAGAACAATACTGCCAGCTTCCTCACTCGAGGCGTGGGAGTCGCTCCTGTCGTCAGCTGACTACCGTCTTCAGGCAGAAGTGGTTAACTGGGCCGAAACGGTCTTGGCAAGCTTTTGGCCACCACCCTTCGAATCACCGGCAAATTAAGTTTACCGACCTTGCTATGCCATCAATACAGTCATTTCTCTCTCTCATACATGTATGTCATGACATGACATGTATGACATGTCAAATGTCAAATGTCAAATCATGACATGTATGTCATGATTTACATGTCATGGCTTTGATGCTCTTGCGGTGGTTTCGTTCACATGATATGTTGCAAACTGGCAAGGTATGACATGACTGCATAAAGAACATAAGTGACAGACCCTAACGTGGAAATTATGACATGCGTGTCATGATTTTCATGTTATGACAAGTCATGACTACACTCCACGCTCATGGTGCGCTCGCGGCCGTTTCGCTGGCTTCGCTACTACCAAATTTGGTATTACGGGAAGTCAATAGATGACGAAGGTATGTGACTGGTGCAAGAATAATAATCATCAGTGCAGGTGCGTATTATGTAACAACATGACTACATGCTTCGCTCATGATGCGTTCGTGGCCGTTTCGCAAGCTTCACATGTACCAAATTTGGTATTACGTGACGCAAACGGACGACATGGGTAAAGGACACATCCAAACATGATAATCATCACATGCGTGTCATGTAACAACATGACGACATGACGCACTCATGATGCGCTGCAGCCGTTTCGCTAGCTTCACATATGCAAAATTTAGTGCAAAATTCGGTATTACGTCACGTGAATGGAAGACGAAGGACTGGTGCAAACATCATAATTATGAGATGCGGATCATGTAACAACATGACACACTCAATGCGCCAATACACTTCGACCTGACCCGGCATGCGTGCTTGCCGGCGTTCGTTTCGTCGCGTCACGCCGGCGATGCCACGCCAGGCGCCGATCTGCCTGCAATATACTTGCAGGCGCGCGCCACTTTGCGTTGCTTTGACGCATGCGCTTTTGAGCGCGCCCGGCGTCCCTCCATAATGAAAAGAGGCAGGTGCTGTGCTGTCTGGGTAGAGCTGGGTAACATCATGGGAGCGAAATGCAGCATGTTGCACTTCGCACAGTATGCACGCTTGAGCATATGCTCTGGGAGTGTGGGTCGCTTAGCCGTGGTGTTTCCCGGAAACGGTTTACAGGGATGATAAAATCTCACAACCATACCCCCAAGTCCTGGCTGTCCAGTACGCCCATGACATGGCTACCCATAACATTACCCACTTACCCACCCATCCATCTGTCCATCCATCCATCCACCCACCCACCCACCCGTCCGTCCGTCCGTCCTTCCATCCATCCATCCATCCATCCATCCATCCATCCATCCATCCATCCATCCATCCATCCATCCATCCATCCATCCATCCATCCATCCATCCATCCATCCTTCCATCCATCCAGATTCTGTTTGGATGCTGTTCGCAATAAAATCTGGCCTTGATAAACTGGGTGTGTTCCTTGTTGTTCCCCTGCTTTTCTACAAAGCATAATATATAAGCTTGTCGGGGGAGGGGGAAGGCTGGTTGATATTATTGAGTGCCCTGCTATTTTCTGGCAATGCTTACAGCTTGTAAGGTTTGTAAGCAGTCCATTGTACAGATTCGTTCGCAGAAACTAAACTTGCTGCAGGGAATTAGATTACGGAAAAAAGCAACATTTAGGACATGAGAAACATGCTGGTGGAGTTATGCGGTTTACAGAGAACATCGCGGGCTACCCAGTTGTTTGATCTGCCATCGC